TGGCTTTGGAAGAGGATGCCACTCCTTCAACCTGTCTGCCCCCAGTTGGGTGGAAATGTGGCTACTGTAAGGGACCTACTTCAGGGCCTACTTTTAAGAAGGAAGTGGGTTTGAGTGGCATCTGAAGTTTGTAGACAGAAATGTCTCCTGCTCTGCTGATGAATAACTTTTTGAGTTATTTGCAAAAACAAGGAAATAAACATGGCAATCATTAAAGTTGTGGTGAACCACCACCACTCCGGAAGTTCTTAATGCAGCCAACTGGGGAAAACACCTCCTTCAGCCTCTCTCTCCTACCTGTAACACACACACACACACACACACACACAGTCATGCCCAATGCATTTCTGCAATCAGTGTAATAATTAATATCCTCCTCCACAGAATGGTCATCTGCACCATTCTCTCTGCCTCCCCATTAAACACATACACGGCCCAAACCATCTGAAAGTTCTGTGAGGAAACAACCACAAAGGTTGAAGTGAGCAGAACGGTGGCCTTGCTACTCATCTGGCCCAACCCTCTTCCTCTGAGGACACATCCAGTGCCCCATGGAGGCTGTACCTCTTCCTGGAGAGAGCAGGTCTGAATCTCATGGACCACTTTGCCTTCCTATCCTGGGCAAGGCCCCACCTCCTGGCTGTTGTCCCAGCTCCCATGCTTTTGTCTATCACTGTCTCTGTCAGCGAGGTGATTTTAAACTTTCATTCCTAAAAGACTCATATTATATAAAAAATGTTTTAAGTGCCTCAGGGTGTTTTGCTCCTCATTGCTTCATAAAAGTGACATTAATAGCCAGGGAAGAGCTCTGCTGAGTGCAATTACAGAGGATGTTTCAGGTATGAAAGCTGTTTTGAGCCTGCTAATGTTTCCTAATTACAGGCCTTTTGGTAGAGAGAGAAAAAGATAAAGAGTGGGTGGGAAGCTGAGGGTGGGGAGCTCTGACTTATCTCGTGGTTTACCTGGAGAGGAAAGGGGAGGAGAGGGGAGGAGAGAGGGATCGGGAGGTCAGAGGCTACCAGCAGGGAGGTGGGCCTCTCTCAGATAACAAACTGGTACTAATTTCTGGGTAACAGCTCAGAAAAAGGATACACTCACTTGTGGCAAGTACTGTGAGGGAAAAGAAAGAGAAATCTTTCACAGCCGAAGCCTCAATGCAAGGATTCCAGAGCAACTCAGTCTGGGAGTGCCTTGCCTTCCAGAATCTGCCTCCCAAGACACTGCAGTGGGCGGCGTGTCACTGGGAAGGACAGTGGAGCACAGTCGTCCCAGGAGGTCCAGCCTGTCCGTCACTTTTGAGCCATGTGACCTTGGGCCATTGAGTAGCTACTTGTCCCTTAGTGTCCTCCTCTCATAAAAGGCAATGAGGATTAATGTATACTTGTCTATAAGTTGCTTCAGGCCCATCCTTTGGTGTTAGATACATCCCAGTCGTCATCTCTTCATCTTTCTGGTAGCTATATTCTCATTTCCTAGGGGGAATTACCACCTCCTGTCCTTCAGTCCCTTGGATCTGCACAGCATAGCATGAACATGGACCTCAGTGTAAGCTGTTAAGCACTGTGTACTTTCTGGCTACAAGGTTTGGTTCCAGGTGGGTACAGGATTCCAACCAAGCCATTCAGGCCCCTTCAGAGCTAATCCCAAACTTTTGCCTGAGGGGTCAGAAGGAAGTATTTGTTCTTCCCCTAGGGGAGGGAAAGGGAAGAAAGGATGGAGCAGCTGCAGTCACCTTATCACTAAGAGGAGCCTCAGCATGGAACCAGCACTGTGGGAGAAGAGAGAAAAGGATGGGACAAGAGGGGGAAAGAGGTGAGGTGGGGGAGACAGATTGATCCTAAGCATATGGACTACCTAAAGCTGAGGTCACGTCTGTCCCTGGACCATCCAGTTCCATGAGCCAAGATATTTCTTCAAGACTGAGTTCTGCTTTGCTGTCACTGGCCACCAAAAAGCCCTGACTGACGAGAATGGCTTCTAGCAATCAGCCACCAAGCTCCCATGCAGTGGCAACAGACTAACAAAAGTCCAACCAAGCCCATCCCCTTCTGCCCTCTTTTCCTAGCATGTCCCAAAATTCAGTGAGAAATTCCATTCACAAAAACCATTTTGCCCATAGCTAAATTTCTCCTGGATCTCTCTGATATAGCCCCAGGTTCTTCTGTCTTAATTGGCACGACTGAAACAGCAAAGGAAGAAAAAAAAAGAGAGAGAAAAAATCTAGTCCAACAGAGGGTTAGTGATATGCTAGCATTTCCTAAGTACGTATCAAGGAAAACTTTCTACTGACATTGTCTCATATGAGACCCAGTTATCCCACTGAGCAGAGGAGGAAACCTGGGTAGAGCAAGCTTATATAGATCCAGATCATCAGGTAGGAGCAGCAGAGGTGAAATGCAAGTCAACTGATTTGATGACAAGGCCTGGAGCTTTACTTGGTGCTCCCTGAAGTTCTCAGCCATCAGCCCAAATAAATTTGAATCAAATTTGCTTGGCCTTGAGCCATCAAGGCATTATGACAGTAGATTTCACTAGTGCATTTAACTGATTCCCATGAGGTGGGCAGCCGGTTAGGGAGCCTGGAGGATCTGATGGGGATTAGGAGGTAGCCAAAGCCCATCAGGTAGCCCTGATGGTCCTCAGGTAGACCAGCAGGCAGTGCTGTACCTGAAGAAGTGAGTTTGCCCACATTCGTGGGTGTGCATCTCATGTGGGAGATAGCACCAGGCATGGACACTCAAGTGCTGCTCATTTCATAGTGGCCCACTATGTAAGCTCAGTCCTTAGTCCACAGATCCTCCACCCCTGAAAACATGTCCCGTGCTCTGGAATCTGCTAGAAAGGCATCAGGAAGGATTGCTCATTTCACTTCATCTAGCCTCACAATATTATGTCCCCCACATATATCTATAAAGACAGACACACATATATACACATAAATACATATACAGACACAGACCTATACACATACATACAAAGAAATATAAAAATATACATCCACATACATATATTTACATATACATGTATAGATATAGATACATATGCATATATAAATATATATACAAATATACGCACATACTTATATAAACATATACACACATATGCATTAGATATATATATATATAT